TACCAGTCAGGTCACGTTGATGTTTACTTTGTTTGCGCGGCGTCGGTCCGGCCTCCTCGCCTGATGTGCTCAGCTCCTCGCACTGACGACAAATAAATAAATATGGTAATAATAGGTTATTTTTTATTGCCTGCGTCACATATAAATCCTTTAATACTATCGTGTCAACAATCCAATAACTACACTTTCTATACCAAAAATGAACTTTAATAGGTACATATTCCATTGCATGGCATAAATCATAACATAACCAGTAGAAAGTGGGTGTTAAATTTTATTATTTACACACCCCTGCCTAGTACCTAGGTACTTATCAAAGGCGCGATTACAATACTGGAAATTAACTCATATATAAGAAAAAAAAAATACATAAGGTTCAAATAATTACAGCTTTTAGGTTTAGTAGACTCACAGGGTCATCATCAGAGTTGGTCTGGTCCATGCTGACGCTGGCTTCGGACGAGGAGTTGTGGTGCGGCTTGCAGGACGGCTGCGGCGGCCGCAGCGGTGGCTCGTCTACCAACGTCGTAGGCGAGGAACCGCCTAACGTGCCCGACGCACCCCTCGACCACATCGCTCGCATCAACGCCGAAGCCAAATATAGACTCTGTATGAAAGAAATGTTGTGATTTATGATAATAATATGTTATGATCTTACACTATTATATAAAGCGGAAGAGTTTGTTTTTTTTTTTGTTTGTTTAAACGCGCTAATCTCCGTAACTACAAGTCTGATTTTAATAATTCTTTTTGTGTTGGATAGCGCATTTATCGAGGATGGCTATAGGCTCTAAAATATCACGCTACCAATAGGAGCTGAGCAGAGCGTGTGAAACCGCGCGGAAGTAGCTAGTTTATGATAAAGTTTATGTATGATGTCGTGCCCGGAGGTTTAAGAGCTACCAACGACAAGTGCCAATAACACATTTTCCGAGATCTATGTACTTTATAAGATTATTTAGACAGTACTGAAAACCGGTGAAGAAAAACAAATTGATGAAAGCTGGGCTTATTATTCCTAATTATAAGTAACGGTAGACCCAGAAGGCAATGGCGGGATGAACTTGACGCCTATGAAAAGGATTGGTCACAGAAAGCTTTAGGAAAAGACGAGTGGAAGAAGGGCAGGGGCCCTTTGCCCTGCAGTGGGACAAGTATTTGGTGGCCACTTTTGATATTGATTATTGATGTTGTGTAGTTGATAACTTATGTAAAAATAATTATGCAGTTGTTAGAAATGCAAAGTAGTTTGTATAGCAACACTCTTCTATTCAGACGCGAAGCATTCTGTTTTTAACTTCTAAAGTTCGAAGTGTTTTGTGAAGAATTTCAATAGAGTTAGTAACATAAATAGATAAAAGTAGATGTACTATGTAGTTGATAGTTCGCAACCTCCTTTGGGGAATAGAAGGCATGTTGTAAAGAGCGGATGAGATCGTCGTCTTACATCTGAAGTATTTACTGATAATAAGTCAGGTTTCATTTAGCGCCGTCACGAAAGAAAACTTTTAAGTTACTAGTGCCCGGAACTTCATACGCGCAATCCCGTGTTTTCCCGTTCCCGTAGTATTATTGAGAAATCCTTGGATAAAAATTCTGCTGATACTAAGGTACTTTCCCACCAATTTTCATGCAAATAGATTTAGCTGTTCTTGAGTTAGAAATAGCAATATAATATAATAAGTAACACAACTTTCTTTTATATAATTTAGATTTGTTAAAAACAAGGAATGGTTTCGAGTCCGTCAGAAACGCGCACAGCCAAGATACTATCTAGCCAACTATCAAATCATAAATGTTTCATTAAAATTAATAAAGACTTGACTATTAAAATTACTGAACCAGTTTGGCTCTTTGGTTGAGTGATCGCAAGCGTGACTGCCGAGCGAGTTGTCTTGAGTTTCAGAACTATTTGTTATATGACAAACTTAAAAAGAACTAATGTTTAGTTTGGTTCTAGTTTTCATTACAACAGGGCATACTTTTATGACATAACTAAAATATGAAATGAAAACAAGTACTGTCGAACTCTCTGTAGAATACCAAATCTAAACCTAAAACAGACAAGCTGAAATGTTTGCACTTTAGGTACGCGCACAAGACCTGAATAATTGCACTGAATTGGTTAATTGCTTCTTTATTGTGTTCTTTATTATCAGGACAACATGTTCACAGAAGAAACATTGGACACAATCACTAAGAAAGTTAGAAAAAGATCAGTAAAAGCAGGCTGATATCAACTAGTCGTAAGTGGAATTGAATATTGAATAAATAATTCTCACCTGTTCCGTGTGCTCTTTAGGTGGCAACGCACACAGGAGACTGTATAGATGAGCACAAGGTTTCGGTGCCAATGCCCTGATGAACCCGGGGAGCAGGTCGTACACCTGTCGGCCGCAGTGCTTCAGCTGCGCCGCCGCCCACACCAGCTCCACATGCTCAGGGGTCACGCGACCTTCCACCGCCAGAAACTTCAGAATCATATGAGATTGCTTTATCACCTGTGGACAATTTGTTAATGTCAGTTTATGTTCTAAATTTAAAGGTCACAAGTTCTAGAGTCATCATAGTGTTCTTAGAGTTAAAAGTGGAGGGCTGTTTCTAACTTCCCTGCTAAAAATCCTTCCATCTAGGTGAAATACAGATAAATTAAGAGAGTTATTGACTAATAAAGGTTTACTGTACTATATCTTTAGCTAGAAACATGTATTGTTGTTTGTTGTGTGGTCTCAACAAAAAGCTTCAAGAGCTGATCATCATCAACACTTACCTCCACATGCAAATTGGGTCCAAATAGATGTTCAATGATGTTATTGTTGGTGAGCCACGTCGCAAGTTGCTGTCCAGCAACTTCAGCGTCTGTTGCCGACTCGCCGGCGCACAGCTCGTTGTGCGACGCGATGTGCGCGTTAATCTGCGCCACTCCCGCCAGGCGCATCGTCAGTGTACTACTGTTGAAGTACTTGAAGGCTAATGCCAGTCCATCACCATCAAATGTTAGAGGTACATCCAATGGCTCCTTTGCTGCTCCCCACATGAAATCTGGTGAAATAAGGGACTATTATAGTGGAACTCAAAATGATATTGAATTAAATTTATAAGGAAAAATAGTCAATGCAGTTGAAACTTACCAGCCATAGATTTCACTGCAGGTACTCTGAGATCTTTGTCTTCTAATGTGCACATGTACTTCAAAATCTTGCTTCTCAATGGCATGAACAGCTGTGACACCGCTCTGAAGTTTAACCACAGCTTGAGGTTGCCTACTGCTGCCACGATGGCATGTGCCATTGACAGTGGTAGACTACTCTGTGTGGCATTTTCAAAGACAGATGTCATAGCACAAACTCCACCCAACTTGCAGAACAAGCTTACATTACGAAGCAAGTAAGCTGGTATCTCAGTATCATGTAGGTCACAGTATAAACTAAGATTAGAGATTTCTTGAGCAGACAGGTCATCTAAGCGGCTCAGTGCTGAGTGCTTGCACGCTAAGTATAAAGGAAAGTTGAGCAGGAATACTTTAGAAACAATGTGCATGAGCTTTTCCTTTTGCTGCATAGACCATAATTCAGGGTCTTCAGTTGAAGTAGAAGATGTCTCAGCATTTTTGGAATCTTCTGCAGTCTCTGCTGCAGCGGCGGGTTCATTTGGTTCATCTGGAGATTCCTTTTCTTCACTGTTCTTTTCTTCTGCAGCTGATGTTGAGCTTTCTTCTTCAGGTTTTTGTTTGTCTTGTGCATTATCAGGAGGTTGCGGTGGGGTAGGTGCAGGAGCGGTTTTAGCTGCTTCAACTAGTTCGTCTTTAAGCTGCTTCAGTTGACAAACAGACAAGCACAGTATACTCTGCACTACAAGATAGAATCTTTCAAAATTCTTCACATCGCGATAGCAACACATACATTGCCTGAAACAAAGTTGAAAAGCACATAGAATGTCTTCTCAAACTCCAAAATACAATGAGTGGCTACCACAATTGAAAGGTTACTTTGTGTAATCACAAAGCAATTACATTACATTGAACTGCACTACATATCAGTCACTCCAAATTATACACAATTGTACAATTACAATCAGAGGACAAGAGTATCAAAGGGCTAAACAAAGCACAGCAGTTACATTGATTGAATGTCACATTACAACAGCTGTACGAGTCTAATCTCTTTATATTTACGAAAATATTTGCTAGCTTACCTTTGTGGCCATGAAAGAATATAGTTCAGCACTGTCTCCAGCTCAGATTGGCTTATTGTTGGATACTGGGACACATCGTCGGTAAGCCTGGATTCACCTAAAACCACACTCGAACAATATATTATCACGTATCACCAGCACAAATTCCGTGAGAATTTAATCACCCACACTTAACAAAAACATATTTATATCATTTTCGATTCAAATAGTTAAATAGAACAAACAAATGGACTGCTAAATTTCGAAACAATGTAACTTACAATTTACTAAAAGCTGTGAAAACTCCGAACAAACATCACACATTCTTAATGCTTTATGTCAAGAATAAGCGAAATATTATTGCAATATAATCGCAAAGGTTATTTCAAGTGAATTATTGATCATTATTGATATTTTTCGTATCAGAAAACGAATACTGCCTTAAAATGTCACGGTATCCGTTCCACCATTGTTGACGATTGTTGTCAAAACTACGTTTTGTTGTCAACGCGTTAATAAATATTAATGATAATTTATTGTTAATTTATTCAAGTTAAGAGACCTAATTTTAAAATAAATCGTGCCCCAAACTGTTAAAAATGTTCAATTAACACATTAGCAAATAACAAAGAAAAACGATAAAATAACTTGGGATCAGCTGCTAAATAATTCTTATTATTAAAATCGACTAAATCTATAGTGTTTCCATGTGTTTCTTTTGACAATTCGACAGTCTTACTCGAACTGACATTTGTTTTGACATATTTCAGCAGTTGAAGAACGAGCTATGGGTTGATTGGTTGTTGTTTTTGATTTTATCAATAGAAATGGTCCAATTACTTTATATTATCGCCAGCTTACATGTTTTATTATGTCCATTTACAAAAGTAGAGGAAAGTTTTAATATCCAAGCCACACACGACATTTTATATCATCGACATAACCTCTCACAGGTGTCTAGAAATTCTAATTTTGGATTCATAAGTCGCTTCCTATAGACATACATTGATTACTATTTTCTTCCAGTACGATCATAATGAGTTCCCGGGAGTGGTGCCGCGCACTTTCATCGGTCCGCTAGTTATATCATTACTTTCGGCGCCAGTAGTGTCGTTCTTCCAATTTACCGGAATACACAAATTTTGGATGCAATATGTAGGTTAGTGAGAATAGTAAGATAAGATTCATTCTGCGCACATCTGTTTTGCCTAACAGCTTTTATGATTGAAATTTATTGCTTATAATTTCATTGAATCAGATTGAATGTATTACTGTATCATTCAAACATGTTTGTGTTGTTTGTTTGTAGTGCGTTTGATGCTGGCTGCGTCAGTGATAGGAGCATGGACTCGATTGAGGAATGCACTGCTGAAGCAGTTTGGGAGTACTTACGCATGGTGGTTCACACTGATCACAGTCACTCAATACCACTTCATGTTCTACATGAGCCGACCATTACCTAATATTATGGTGCTACCCTTAGGTAAGTAATAAAAAGACCAAATGCTACTGTCACAAGTCTCCATAAAGAAAGAGTCAAGTCGGTCTTCATTCGTAAAAAATTGAACAATGTTTAAGTATAACATTGTTTGGTGTATCTGCATACCAGAAAGAAATGAATATAAAATGTTTCAGTGCTCCTAGCATTTGAAGGATGGGTGTCTGGCAAACATAAACAATTTATTGTGACTGCTGGAGCCTCCATTGTGATATTCAGAGCAGAGCTAGCCATGCTGTTTGGTCTGTTCCTTATCATAGACCTGCATTTCAAGAAGATTGATTTTACTACGTAAGTGTAGTTTAAGAATATTAATAGTTTAAGAAGGTAACATTTTTTTTTTATTTTTTTTTTTTTTGATTTTATTGTCCTGCAATCTGTCTCTAACGAACATTCAGCACATGGTCAAGAGTTTAATTTAAAGAAGGTAACATAAAGTGTGATATTTCTTCCTTTTTCTGCATCCTTCAAGTAATACGTTTGCAATTTAGGCATTGATACAAGTAAACAATACAACTTGACACCTGAAACAAGCCTAAATAAACAGAGACATTAGTACGACTTTGTTTTACGTTTAAAGTATTCGAAACGAGTACGCGTTCGGCACTCTGATTGGCCGGCGCCAATGAACCAACCAATCAGAGCGCAGAACGCTTACTATTTTCAATGTAAATTAAACTCGTACTAAGGCCTCAGTATACAATATACATTATCAAGTTAAAGTATGCTGTTACAAAATAATTAAATTGACAGTTCAGTTATAATTTCCTACATCAATCAATAATAAAATTTATTGTATTAATTTTATAGATTGTTCAAGACAGTAGTGCCAGCAGGTGCGGGGCTAGTAGCTCTAACAGTCGCAGTGGACTCCATATTCTGGGGCCGATTGATCTGGCCCGAAGCTGAAGTCTTCTGGTACAACACAGTGCTGAACAAAAGCTCAGAGTGGGGTGTATCCTTTTCTCAAAATAATTTCACAAAATAAAATCACAAACTTTCTTAATAATTTGACTGCATGGTTGGCACGGTGGCTGCCGCTTAACATGATTCACAGTTCATTCATGGTGTCATGTGTTTGAGAAGTTGTATGTTTGTAAACGCACCCAAGACACAGGAGAAAATGGTATGGGCTAAGTTAAAAAAAAACATAGGTACTTAAATATGTTTCTTTTTCATTGAGGATAAAACAGAATGTAATATTATAATGCTAAATTAGTAACAGGATTTTGATTGATATCTTATTACTTATAAGATTAGATTATTGTGATACTATGTGCGAGTATGATTTGTTATTGTTTTGTAGTACTTAATATTTTGTAAAAGGAAAATATCTGTAAAAGGAATGTCGCTAGAGTAAAGAAACGACTTGTGTTTAATTTTTCATGGTAAAGAATCATATAACTAGACTTCCATTGTTTTTCATCTTCATCAGCCGACATTAACAGCCGGAAGATGTCCACTGGTGGACAAAAGCCTCCCTCATAATTGTCGATAGGCTTTCAAATTATGTTAATACTCAAAAAGCTATCATTCTAAACACCCTTAACTCACAATACAGACATCACCTTTCCTCTGGTACTTCTACTCAGCTTTACCACGAGGTCTAGGTCCCAGTTTAGTCCTGATCCCAGTGGGGCTATATCTAGATCGCAGGCTGATCCAGTACGCTGCACCAGCATTCGTGTACATAATCCTTTACTCCTTCCTGCCACATAAGGAACTGCGGTTCATCATCTACGTCTTCCCTTTGCTCAATATGGCGTCTGCGGCCGCCTGTTCTTATGTGTAAGTACTTATTAATTTTTGTTAATTAATATGGCATCAATGTTTTAGTGGTCTGAACTAAAGGAGTTTGGTTATTGTTTGTTCAGTTGGTGTCGTTTGTTGAAACTGATTAAAGTAAGAGAAATATGAGTTGTTATTGTATGAAACATTTAATTACACTAACTTATGTGAAATACTTACAAATTTAAGTTTAAATATCTGTATTGCTGAACACAGTACATTTAGATGCAAGTTCATTACTTACGAGTTCATTTATATCCATTTATCTCTAATATTCAACCACTGTAATACAAATGTAGTGTAGTACCAATATTCATTAGAATTAGTTTTGATAATTTAAGCATTAAAAACCTCCTCGAATGGCTCCCAAGAAGCTTCATCCGATGGCTATCTGTGAACTTTATTACAATTGATATAAATTCTATTTCTCTTTCAGATATGTAAGAAGAACAAAAGCACCAATATACGAGTTGATGTTCTGGTGCTCAGTGTTTGTGATACTTGGCAACATTATCATATCATTAGCTTTCATTCTGGTCGCCATGACTAATTACCCGGGTGGAGTCGCTATCACTAGGTCTGTATTATACTTTTACTAGCTATTCTTAATTTTTGCTGTTGCAAATAAATGACAGTTGACATAAATGAATTGTACTGCTTTCGTAATATTTTTTGAGGTTTTCAACGTTTTGTTGTTCATGTATTTTGGGTGGTAATAAGTCTAACAATATATCAATGATCTTTAGTATCAGACTGACCATTCTCAAATAATAACTTCTACAGGTATAGACAAGAGTCCAATGCTATTTTTGTTGTTTCAGATTCCACAAAATAATGAAAAATGAACCATTCGTCCATGTTCACATCTGTAACTTAGCTGCTCAAACGGGTGTGACGAGATTCACGCAAATTAACGATAGTTGGATATATAGTAAGACCGAATCGTTAGCTCTAGGACAATTACAAGATTATACTCATCTTCTTGTTGAAGCAAAAAGCAAGTACTCACCTAATCTTAAATACTTTGCCCAGACACATGTAATCTTAGATAGTGTAGAATCGTTCTCTCAAGTGGCTATGAATTACAAACTAATGCCTCCTGTAAGAATTAAAACAAAACCGGCCATTTTCATATTAGAGCGTAAAGATTTTCGTGAGTTTCCTTATGGACACAAACTTGCGGCTGTATCTGATCTCGATACTCGCATACAAATAGATGAAGCTGTATCGGATACTGAAACAGTTATCGATGTTGTTAACTATGATGATTTCAAAGAATTAGGATCTACGAAATCGGACCCTGAATTAGATGTTGAAGTACAAACTGTCGAAGTTAACATACCGTCTGAAAATGAAAGTACAGTAGAAGTTACTAAATCAACAGTCGACGAAACAACTCAAAAGCCTAGCGATGAAGTCATTGAGGAAATAGAGGAAAAGATTCAGGAAGAGGTCAAAATAGACAATAAACCTAAATTACCAAAAGCAAAGAAAGCTTTCGACGAATTAAAGATGCTGAGACAAGAAAGGAAAAAGAAAGCTATAGAGAAAATTAAAACAGAAACACGTAAAGAAGTTGTAGAGTCGGCTAAAGAGAAACTGAAGGAAATTATGAAACGCCACAAACATATCGCTGATGAGCTTTCAGAGAATATCATATCTGATATAACTTCTGAAGTAGAGGAGAAGGATGGCAGAGGAGACATACCTGAAACCGAATTTATTCCCGAAGAATCAAAATCAGATCTCGTAGATAAAGAAGAAGATAAAGGAGAAATCAAAGTACAGGGTGATGCAGAAATAAAAGAAGATTTAATAGACAAAGCTGATATTACAAATAAAACAAATGAAAATATAGATACAATCGTGGAAGAGGTTATACTCAGATTGATTGATAGAAAAATTTACGACGACAAGACGAAACCGGAAGATATAAAGCCTGAAGACAGGCTCATGATACAGAAAATTGTTGAAGAAGTCATATCAGAGAAACTGAATTATTCAAGTATTGACAGTAATAATAATAAATGAGTGTGTGGAATACATTTCGTATTTGAAAACATTGGCCCTGTTTTGTTTTAATTTGATCTCGACATAATTCTAAAGACGCGTATTTTACGTACCTATCCTGAATCTACACAGTTAAGGTACAGTTGCAAAGGAAATTTAACTTTGAGATTCAAAGAAAATGAAAGCTAAAATCAATTGTACCATAATAAGATAATTATAAAGCGTCGTTAGTAATACGGAGCAAATCATCCCTCTATCTGCGTATGTCTCCATTAGGAACTTGCAAATGTAGTAGGAGGGTACGCAGGCTTGGGATTGTGGTCTCTGGATAAGATTATAAGTAAAAATTTAATAGTTAGCTACTTATAGTGTCAATTACCAAATCGTGCCTTCAAATGATACTTAGTTATATTCGTACATGGATGATACGTACTGTGGGATCTAAAATATAAAGTATTTTCGTCAGTTGAAATGTTTTGATGCAATTATTTCTATACCTCGTAGAAAAGAGTGTACTTCTATTTAAAAGGCCGACAACGGTCATTCTGTCTCCTCTGGTATAGCAGGTATCAATGTGTGGTTCTGATCACTTACCAAAAAATCTGATGTTTGTGGCTAAGGACTTCGGCGCAATTTTCTCCCGCGTCTTCGTAGAATACAGATACCTATGTATGTAAAAATCATAGCAATTTTCACGGCGCGGTTTACGCGGCGGTTGTCATTGTTTACAGCCCGCAACCGCGGCGGTTGTCATTGTTTACAGCCCGCAACCGCGGCGGCTAACACTCATGCGCTCTGCGGTCGCTCGGTGAGCGATCGCAAAGTGACGGCCGATTTAGAACTCAACTGATTGTTTAATCGCCCGCCCGTCTTGCGTTAATTAGCCGCCACGTTCTTGGGCGATAATAGCAACCGTGGCGGCTGCAGAATCGCATAAAACTGCGGTTTTGTGAGTTTTGAAAATTCCGCCTCCATTCTGCCACCGCGGCGGGCGCTCGAGTAGATCGCGCCGTGCCGTGAGTCCTTAGCCTAATCCCTCTAAAAGCCTGCTCTTTTTAGTGGGCGTACTGTCCGTGTGCCACAGACTACAATCACAACCTCTTATATTATTGATAAAATGGGTGATGACTTGCATTTTGTTTTGGCTTTTATTATGTTTCGCATTTCTTTTGTATTATGATTTCATTGCTGTCCCATTTTTTTCTAGTCACGTAAGTGTTTTTGTTTTATAAAATAAAATTTATGATGTATACTTTATTGTAATTTTATTTTGCGCTTGATGTCCACTCATTAATCTTTTGTTAGGGCGGTGCTCGAACACTTTTGAGAGTAACTCGAAAGCTATCGAGAGTCCTCGATCACTTTCGAGGATTACTCGAAAACTATCGAGCGTCCTCGATCACTTTCGAGAGTTACTCGAAATCTATCGAGGGTCCTCGATCACTTTCGAGGATTACTCGAAAACTATCATGAGTCCTCGATCACTTTCGAGAGTTACTCGAAATCTATCGAGCGTCCTCAATCACTTTCGAGAGCTGCTCGAAAACTATCGAGAGTCCTCGAACACTTTCGAGAGCTGCTCGAAAACTATCGAGCGTCCTCGATCACTTTCGAGGATTACTGGAAATCTGTCGAGAGTCCTCGATCACTTTCGAGAGCTGGTCGAAAACTATCGAGCTAACTCGATCACTTTCAAGAGTTACTCGAAATCTATCGAGAGTCCTCGATCAATTTCGAGGATTACTCGAAAACTATCGAGTGTCCTCGATCACTTTCGAGAGTTACTCGAAAACTATCGAGAGTCCTCGATCACTTTCGAGGATTACTCGAAAACCATCGAGCGCCCTCGATCACTTTCGAGAGTTACTCGAAATCTATCGAGCGTCCTCGATCACTTTCGAGAGCTGCTCGAAAACTATCGAGCGTCCTCGATCAATTTCGAGAGTTGCTCGAAAACTATCGAGCGACCTCGATCACTTTCGAGAGTTAATCGAAATCTATCGAGAGTCCTCGATCACTTTCGAGAGTTACTCGAAATCTATCAAGCGTCCTCGATCACTTTCGAGAGTTACTCGAAATCTATCGAGCGTCCTCGATCACTTTCGAGAGTTGCTCGAAAACTATCGAGCGTCCTCGATCACTTTCGAGGATAACTCGAAAACTATCGAGCGTCCTCAATCACTTTCGAGGATTACTCGAAATCTGTCGAGAGTCCTCGATCAATTTCGAGAGCTGCTCGAAAACTATCGAGCGACCTCGATCACTTTCGAGAGTTACTCGAAAACTATCGAGAGTCCTCGATCACTTTCGAGGATTACTCGAAAACTATCGAGCGTCCTCGATCACTTTCGAGAGTTACTCGAAATCTATCGAGCGTCCTCGATCACTTTCGAGAGCTGCTCGAAAACTATCGAGCGTCCTCGATTAATTTCGAGAGCTGCTCGAAAACTATCGAGCGACCGCGATCACTTTCGAGATTTCGAGAGTTACTCGAAATCTATCGAGAGTCCTCGATCACTTTCGAGAGTTACTCGAAATCTATCGAGCGTCCTCGATCACTTTCGAGAGCTGCTCGAAAACTATCGAGCGTCCTCGATCACTTTCGAGAGCTGCTCGAAATCTATCGAGAGTCCTCGATCATTTTCGAGAGTTTCTCGAAATCTATCGAGGGTCCTCGATCACTTTCGAGGATTACTCGAAAACTATCGAGCGTCCTCGATCACTTTCGAGGATAACTCGAAAACTATCGAGCGTCCTCAATCACTTTCGAGGATTACTTGAAATCTGTCGAGAGTCCTCGATCAATTTCGAGAGCTGCTCGAAAACTATCGAGCGACCTCGATCACTTTCGAGAGTTACTCGAAATCTATCGAGAGTCCTCGATCAATTTCGAGGATAACTCAAAAACTATCGAGCGTCCTCGATCACTTTCAAGAGTTACTCGAAATCTATCGAGAGCCCTCGATCATTTTCGATGATTACTCGAAAACTCGAGCGTCCTCGATCACTTTCGAGAGTTACTCGAAAACTATCGAGAGTCCTCGATTACTTTCGAGAGTCCTCGATTACTTTCGAGGATTACTCGAAAACTATCGAGCGTCCTCGATCACTTTCGAGAGTTACTCGAAAACTATCGAGCGTCCTCGATCACTTTTGAGAGTTACTCGAAAGCTATCGAGAGTCCTCGATCAATTTCGAGGATAACTCAAAAACTATCGAGCGTCCTCGATCACTTTCAAGAGTTACTCGAAATCTATCGAGAGTCCTCGATCATTTTCGATGATTACTCGAAAATTATCGAGCGTCCTCGATCACTTTCGAGAGTTACTCGAAAACTGTCGAGAGTCCTCGATTACTTTCGAGGATTACTCGAAAACTATCGAGCGTCCTCGATCACTTTCGAGAGTTACTCGAAATCTATCGAGCTAACTCGATCATTTTCGAGAGTTACTCGAAATCTATCGAGAGTCCTCGATCAATTTCGAGGATTACTCGAAAACTATCGAGCGTCCTCGATCACTTTTGAGAGTTACTCGAAAGCTATCGAGAGTCCTCGATCACTTTCGAGGATTACTCGAAAACTATCGAGCGTCCTCGAAAACTTTCGAGAGTTACTCGAAATCTATCGAGCGTCCTCGAACACTTTCGAGAGTTACTCGAAATCTATCGAGCGTCCTCGATCACTTTCGAGAGTTACTCGAAATCTATCGAGCGTCCTCGATCACTTTCGAGGATTACTCGAAATCTATCGAGCGTCCTCGATCACTTTCGAGAGCTGCTCGAAAACTATCGAGAGTCCTCGATCACTTTCGAGAGTTACTCGAAATCTATCGAGCGTCCTCGATCACTTTCGAGAGTTACTCGAAATCAATCGAGGGTCCTCGATCACTTTCGAGGATTACTCGAAAACTATCGAGAGCTCTCGATCACTTTCGAGGATTACTTGAAAACTATCGAGCGTCCTCGATCACTTTCGAGAGCTGCTCGAAAACTATCGAGCGTCCTCGATCACTTTCGAGGATTACTCGAAAACTATCAAGTGTCCGCGATCAGTTACGAAAGCAACTAGAAATCTGTCTAACGTCCTGGAAAACAATCGAGTGACTTGTATAATTTTGAAGGGCGTCTATTGAGCGTACTCGATTATTGCTGGAACACTTTCTAGAAATACTCGAAAACGACGACGCTGCATCGATGACTTTTTACTCACTCAACAAAAAGGGGGTGGTACAATCGGAATGTGCACGCTCGAATAGCTAGCGGCGGGTCTGCACGCCTTCATGTGTCGCTTAAGCTCATCCTTAAATCTTAAGAGTTGTCCGCCATGCTTTCGCTTGCCCTCTTGAAGTTCTAAATAAAGGACACGCTTCGTCACTCTCTGCTCTGTGATGTAAATAGTGAGTGTGACCTAGAAGTGGGATTCGAATAGATTACCTAGAAGTGGGCCTACTTTTGTGGGCGTGGGTTCGAATCCCACTTGTTACTTATGTAAGAGGTCACAAATGCGCCATTCGTTTGGTCCAAAAACATAGCCCGGGCCAAGGTGCTTACTCTTGAAACCAATCTCAATGTCAATGCAATTGCAATCCAATGAAAACTCGATAATTATTTAATGTCAAAACCATATAACCCCTATCGTAGCTGTTAAAATAGCATTCAGAGTATAGAATAAACAAATCATACCATTTACTTCATTCAATATCCACGCAATACGGATGCAATGGGCGCTTGTGTTACAACTCAAGAGTACGAAATTTTACAATATCAATGTCGATCGTTCGGAATTGAATTCCAGAGTAAGCCCCCTGGCCTGCACAATATTACCATTTTGTATGAGCGCGTGAATAATTGTAATTAATTATGGTTTTGGTTTTATGTTTGTTCCTGCACATTAGTGTTAGAAAACGATGAAGAATACAGATAATTACATTTACAAGACCCTCCCCTTCAAATTTATAAAATTTTCAAGATTATCATAGCACGATGTGATTTTGTTCAAGAATACCAGTACAAACTAAATG